AGATGGAAAGGATAGGAAAATTTTACAAATTTTACTTAAAAGGGTTTTTTCTTAAACAAGACTGACATAACTGAGAAAGAAGGTGGGAGCACTGAAGGAAAATGTAGTAGAAAGAAGAAAACTGAAGGAGTTAAGAGCTCAGCATTTAAAAAAAATCAATTTTCAGAATGAATTAATTAATTCATATTCTATATGGTTTATGTAGGAAATTATGCGGTAGTGAGAAATAAACAAATTTTGGGCATACAGTCTTGGATGTGGTAGTGCAAGCGTTTTTCTCCAGCCCACAAAACAAACGCTGTATAAAACTGAAGCTTATCACTAGGTGGCACTGTTTCTCGGTACAGTACCCCCTGAGCATCCCTCTAACACACAGCCTGGGAACTCCCCGGCCCCCGGCGCTCCCGCAGTGCGCTGCCTGCGCACAGGACAGCAGGCAGGGCACGCTCGCTCTGCACAGCAGCTGGAGCAATCCTTCACTCCGGACACACTTGGCACTATGTGGTGGCAAAAGTTTGGATGAACCACTTGGCAGCAGAGCTACTCATTTCAACCTCGGACTTCCCAGAACACGCTCTCCCTAGGATGTGCCTGGACTGTTCTTCTAGAAGATCCCGAAGGCTGCCTTCAAGTCCAGGCCTGCTGTCCCATCAGATAGTGATCTGCAAGCACAGCTCTCCCTGCAGTCAGGGAGTACCATCAGAGTGCAGAGGAGCCTTTGTACTCAAGAAGGGAGCCTGCGTGCTCAAGAAACAGCCCCTGAATTCATTGTACTCTCAGAAACAGTCTGTAAGGCAGCAGGAAATGGGATTACAGGCATTACCTTCTCCAGCATCAGCCAAGGATGCACAGTCACAGGGAACCTTCAAGGCTGTAGGCAGCTCACAGGTACCATCCTCGAGCAGCATCCTCTCCACAGGGAGGTTTAAACAGCAGAAACAAAGTCCTGTTCACCCAAGAGATCATCACAACAGATCTTCTTAATTAAGACCCATAGCACAAGCTAATACATTCACAAAAAAAAAAAAGACGACCTTTACTTTTTTTTCCCTTTAAGATTTATGTCAATGAGTATAAAAAATAGTCCCCAAATATTATAATAGGCAAAACAAATCCCTTTTTTCCCCCTTAAAATTTCTTTAGTGGTATCATGAATGCTGAAATCAAATAAAATTGAACCATTTGTAAAGGCATTGTACAGATTTACATGGTCTGCATGTAACAACTTCTCATTCCATTATGATGTGACAAATTGAAGACAAAAGCTTTAAGAGAAAGAGGGAGAGAGACAGACAGATGATTTTGTCAGTGAGAACTGATCTCATACTGGGCGAGTAATATTACAGTACCTATTCTCTTGAACATTAAACACTGGGAACAACATACATGGTGACAGGTATCATATAACACCTTTGTAATAGCATGAAAAACAATACAATATAGAGTTGCATGTTTGTAGCAGTAGTTCAATTTAAAGTAAGTGATGAAAGGATTTTAAATTAAGATATCAAATAACTATTTTCATAATTAAATTTCAACATGCAAGTCAGTTGTTCAAGATTATCGTGGAGTATTTTAATAACTCTATTACTATCTCGGTGTTTCTACTGCTTCCCTGCCCACTCACACTTTGCATATAATTATCCTGAAACTATGTGACATGTCTAGTAAGCACAGAGGATTTTCCCCAAAAACTCTTTCCATTAAAAAGCTCGTGCACTCAATTCAGCAAAGTTTAATATTTTTTCCATTGCATTTTGAGGCAAATTTTAGAAAAGCAGTACTAAAATTCATCGGGGAAGTATTCTTATGAGCTAATTAGGCCAAATTCTCAGACCTCATGAAATAACTTCTGGTTTGAGGGGAGGGCAGGGAAAGAAAGTTGGGCCTTTTAGCAGTTAAAGTGTCTCACTTCGATTTTGGGACTGCAACTTCTAGATTATGTAGTAAATTCAGTATGTACAGTGCCCAAACGTAATCCATTTACATTTGTAAATATAATTCGTAATTTCAGCAAAAGCTTGTTCATCTATTTTTTCCTTTCCTCCTTAGGAGTTACTGTTTACCAAGATAATGACTGTATACCAACAAAACCGATAGCAGGTAGGAAAGGAGTTGAAAGAATGATGAACTGACAGTGCTGCTTTCCCATCTGACAGTGTTTCAGAATCTTTTTGTGTACTGGACAACAGCTTCTTAAAGCTCAAGTGATTTATAGGGGACTTCAATACGCAAAATGTGAATAAGCAGTAGGTTCAGAAAAATTTCAAAAATTCAAAAGCAGTCTTGGGCTAAACCAAAAAGCTTCTTCTGAAGGCATTTCAGACCCCATCCTCAGGGGAGCACTAAAAAGAGCTTGTACCTCAATTTCTTTGAGATCCTACATACATATTTGAAGAAAGAAAGAAAAAAAAAATGTTATCCTTTGCACTGTTTTCATGAAGAAAATATAAGCAAGAGTAGGAGCAGGTCCAGAGGAGGGCCACAAAGATGATCAGAGCACCTCTCCTATGAGGACAGGCTGAGAGAGGTGGGATTGTTCAGCCTGGAGAAGATAAGGCTCTGGGGAGATCTTATTTCAGTAACTAAAAGGGGCCTACAGGAGAGCTGGGGAAGGACTTTTTACAAGGGTGTGGAGTGACAGAACAAGGGGGAATGGCTTCAAAGTAGAAGAGGGTAGATTTAGAATCGGTGTTAGGAAGAAATTTTTCACTCTGAGGGTGGTGAGGCACTGGAACAGGTTGTGCAGAGAAGCTGTGGATGCCCCATCCCTGGAGGTGTTCAAGGCCAGGCTGGATGGGGCTTTGAGCAACCTGGTCTTTTGGGAGGTGTCCCTGTGCGTGGCAGGGGGGCTGGAACTCGATGATCTTCGATGTCCCTTCCAACCTAAACCATTCTATGATTCTATAATACATCTTCCAGGGGGCTTCTAATCTATGGCTGTGAAAGGTGTTAAGTCTTGTTCACTGCAGGAGACTTAAAGATGCAAACTCGAATTTTTCTGATGCCGTAAGCAAAACACGAGGAAGCCTGAGTGTAAGGGTAACACCTGACACTGAATTCGGGCAGTATGGTACCAGACGACCAGGCTTCGGTTTTACCTCACTGCCGTGACACCATAAACCCGTTAACTCGGCGGTCACCGGCTATGGCTTCAGGAACACGGACCGAAGCTCCATCTTCAACATGACTCATAAAAAATAAATAATAATAAGCGCCCTCCGTCCTTTCCTCGCTGACCTCCCCCGGGCTGCACCAACGCTGCTGGAGGCGGGGGGTGAGGAGAAGCGGTTGCGGGGACGTCCCGAGTCAGCCGCCATGAGGAGACGGAGGGGCGGGGGGAACTGCGATCGTTAAGGGGAAAGGCCCCGCCGCCGTTTCGCTGCCCTCCGCCCCTTCTCTCGCCGCAGCCCCTGTCGGCCCCGCCGCTCGTCCCCCACCCGCCGCTCAGGAGGGGGATGGTTTCTCCGGGAAGTACCGGAGCTGCCGCCACCGCCGCTTCCTTCCCTTCCGCCTGTGTCTCATCCCGGGGTTCTCGCAGCGAGCGTTTGGGGTGAGGGCGCGGGCGATGCCGGCTGGGGGCGAGGGGTGTGTGTGGGGGGGTTATGGTTGAGGGGCGGTGGGGAGAGTGACCGTTGGGACCGTTGGCGGCAGCCGTTGGGGCAGCTGCTGCTGAGGAGAAGCGATGGCGCCCGGCGGCGAGGTGGAGGAAGGGCCCCCGGCGCCCTTTTCTCTTCACGGGGAGGGCAAGAGCTCTTCGACTCTGTGCGGCCTTGAAGCCTAGGGCGGTGTCCCGCTTTTGAAGAGAGATCCTGCCTCCGGGTCAAAAAAAAAAAAAATTATTATTAAAAAAAAAAAAATCTTCTCAGTGATGTGCTCGCTGGGGAACTGAGCGTTGCTGCCGAGCTTGATTTCTCCTCTCAAGTCCAAGCTCAGGGCAAGGAAGTGGGCGCCAGGTTGTTTTCAGGTTGCAGCCTTCTGTGGTTAAAGCTGAAAGGAGCTGCGTGTAGGTTTCCTCCATCCCTCCCTCCCACTTGCCCTGAAAGACAAATGCATTCTCCCCCAGTTTATTTCATAAAATCTTTAAGCTCGCTCTGCAGCACTGTTTAAGGGAAATTTCAGCAGGCTTAGCAACAGGTAAACTAAATGATAGTGGGAGTGATGGAATGGGCCGTTGCTCTGCATTGTTCAGGCCCAAGCTCGGTTAGCCTGAGTGTAACAGGTGAAGACACCTTTTTCTGAGCGGTTTTTCTAGTGTGATTTGATTGCTTTTCCTTTTTGCTGAAAGGAGTAGGCAGCAGAAGTCAAGAAGTCAGTTTTCAGGTATGGCAGACCCATACTATATTTCACGTAACACTAAATGCATAGAAGTAAATGGAGGTCAGGCAGAACTTACTGGTATGAGCAGAAACATAGCTTGCACAATTGTCTCCTAGTTTTAATGTGTTTTAAATAATGGAAGGCAAAGCAAGGACAGAGACATTATACCAAATAGCAACTACTTACCACTGTTGTGTCAAGCATAGGCACTTCAGAGCTCAGGTGCACTGAGCTGAATTTCTCCTTCCCCTACTACCTAATATTACACAGTTATTGTATATCCATATCCATACAGATGGATAGTTTTCACAAGCTTAATAACAGCTCTTAAAACCTTGCTTTGCTCTTTTAGATTGAGACCAGTCTGAGTTCTTGCAGGTACGCCTATCAAGAAGGGATCCCAGACAAAAGCTATTGCACTGAAGACTGAAGTGCAAATTTAACTACTAACTTCTGTTAGTGACTTTTTTTTAGTTAGGAGTCTGTCTTTCATTTGTTTATATTTTCTGCTTCTCTTTTTCATTTCTTGATTAGGGAAATTGTTCTTATGAGAGGAAGTGGAAGTGTATTAGAGGTGTTTTCTGTCTATAAACTGTAACGTTAAACCTTAGTACTGCTTTTTTTTAAATCGTAACTCTGATCTTACTGTATTTACTGTATTTGCTTTTCTCCCTAGTGTCCAAAAATCAACATGTCTAGCAAAAAGGCAAAGACGAAGACCACCAAAAAGCGCCCTCAGCGTGCCACTTCCAATGTATTTGCTATGTTTGATCAGTCGCAAATTCAAGAATTCAAGGAGGCCTTCAACATGATCGACCAGAACAGGGACGGCTTCATCGACAAAGAGGACTTGCACGATATGCTCGCCTCCCTTGGTAATGTCACTTTTCTGTTTATGCTTGCCAAGCAGATTTGTGCTATTATAATTAAAATACTGAGCTTGGGATAGCTTATGAGGGGTGTCCCAATTTGTGTTACGCTTTTCAGATTACTTTTTCTTTTGGTTTGAAAGCTAAACCAACTATGAATCCCTTTACTTGTAGGAAAGAATCCAACGGATGAATACCTGGATGCCATGATGAATGAAGCTCCAGGCCCCATAAACTTCACAATGTTCCTCACAATGTTTGGTGAGAAGTTAAATGGCACCGATCCAGAAGATGTAATCAGGAATGCTTTTGCTTGCTTTGATGAAGAAGCAACAGGTATGTGGGTGAAACTTAGCTGCTTGGTGGTGGGGGAGGTGGTACTTTTACATTTTTTATTCGGGTTTCTAAATACTGTGCTGATTTTCGGACCATTATAAATGAAGTATGACACAGTAATCCTTCTAGATAGTATATTCTACCAAGTAATGAGAATTTGACTTATTACTGAGTGAAAGTAAAAACTGGCTGTTCCGTGTGAGTACTTAGGACTAGGAGTAACGTTCTTCTGTGAGGCTTTGAAGAGTCTTTTAACTGTGCAGTGTGTATGTTCCTCAAAGTGCAAAATAAGATGCATTTGCTCTAAGAAGGTGAGGAGGTCAAATTGGTAATATGTCATTTTCTATGGCATTGAAAAGGTAATGGATGTCAAATCTATAATACAACTGAGTTTGTCTTTCCCCTACAGTAGATCTGAGATGCATCTGAATTCTTTTATGTTTTTAATATTTCAAGACAGACTGTCCAGACTACGTAAAGTCTTTAAACCCTCATCTTGCCCAGTGTATCTTATGATTGTGATGACAAATGCTATGTGTCATGCCCTCACCCACAGCTCAGTTTGTTTTCAGATTGTAGGAAGGGCTGTAGCCTTAATGATCTAAAGATAAAAACCAGGTGGGGTCTAGAAGATAGAAGACAGATTGGACTGACTTGCAAGTGACAAGCAAGGTGGGGGGAAAGAGGAAAATGCAGAGCTCGGTTTTATTGTATCAGACTTCCAAGGTTGTCTCTGTAATCTTGAGGTTAGAGTTTATGCTTTTATTTATTTATTCATGTAGACTAAGATTCCAGAGAAGTGTGTAGCAAACGGATGAATCCTTAGGGCAATTCTGCGGAATTACAGAACATCAGCACTTCGTTGTGAACACATCTTAATGGTGCATGCCGAAATTATGTAGCCTCTGTACTGGACACGTCACTGCACCTATAACTTTCCTCACAACTGCCCACCACAATATTTCAGTCTAACCTGTGGATATGTGCTATGAACCTTTCAAAGGATATTATTCCATTTCAAACAGCTATTTTCAGTCTGTGTATTTTTAGCACCTTTTGCCTTTTCAAAGAGCATC